ATTTTTCTCTCCCTATTGCATTTATATTTTCAGCAACTCTGACAGAGTTTTCTCTGTGCTCTGAATTCCTCTTAAGAATTTCTCTTTCTGGATCAGTCATAAACCAGTCTTTCTTAAATACATCCAGTTTCTTCCGTGGTTTCAACAGATACTTTTGTGGGAAGAAACGGATTCTTAAATTGGTTAGGTGTGTACTTTATACCAGACACCGTGCCAGATGATGGAGATTATCTCAGGTGTGTGTTCAGGGGAGGGGGTGCTTGGTGGTGGTCATTCTGAAAGACACCTGGAGTTGTAGTTCACATCATTTATTCTGTAAGTATCTAGGAGCATGCATGCTGTGCTTGGCATGGAAGATGGCAGACAAATGTGGTCCTGCTCTGTTTTAAGTGCAGGTTGTTATGGCATATGAAGCAGGACACCTCACTTGGTAGGAGTTCAAGGAGGTGTCAGGGAGGGCTGTTCTGCCACCCTTCTCAAAAGCATCTTTTCAGGCATTGCTCCTGCACCTCTGCAGATGTGTTCAAGGCTTCGTGTGGGGGACCCTCAGGGAGAACAGGCACACTGCTGCCCACAGGCACACCCACTGTCCCTATGACTGAGTGTGCATCCTCTGCAAACCATTGGTCTAGCATCCGACTCTGGGTTCCCTTACTGTGAATTCACTGCCCTTCCAAGGTCTTAACTGTTCCTGACTCTGTTTGTCCCCATCCAGATTCATATGCCATAGATACCTTAACACAGTGTGAGGAGAGTAACTTTCACTAGGGTGCAAATGCCCATCAGGTTTAACCTGATGCATCTATACTTTAAAAGAGGAGTTCAGTAGGAAATATTAATTTCTAATTGTAGATTCTAACTGTAGATTGTGGAGCAGTCACTTTGCTGTGTCAGAGACATCTATGCAAGAGGCACTTGTCTATCTTCCTACCTACCCTAGCCTCTTGCATTAAGAAAATAGAAGTCAGTGACTAAACCACCAAATATGAATGTGTTTTCTGGGTTACCTGGAGTGGTTTGGGGGAGAATTCTAAAACCTGCTCTGGCCTGAACTCTGCCATCATTTACCTGAGCCTCCATTTCCTTTTCTATAAAGTGGAGCTAATAGGATTTTTGTGAACAGTGAAAGTGAGCTGAAAAGTGCTGGGCTGACACAAGGTAACCCTGCACTTGGCCAGAGAGCCCAGCATCCCGTCCAAAGGTTGGAGTCTGAAAGCTGACTCTTGTGATTTGTAAACTTTGACCTAAAGCAGATATCCTTAATTTTATTGTCTGTAAACAGGTAGCTTCTGACAGAGATATCTTTTTATTTTTTTTTTTTTTGAGGCAGAGTCTTTCTTCTTTGCCCCAGGCTGCAGTGCAGTGGTGCAATCATAGCTCACTGCAGCCTCAGCTTCCTGGGCTCAGGCAATCCTCCCACCTCAGCCTCCCAAGTAGACATGAGGGTTCTCCCTGTGTGGCCCAGGCTGGTCTCAAACTCCTGGCCTCAAGTGATCCTTCCATCTTGGCTCCCAAATATTGGGATTATAAGTGTGAGCCACCATGCCCAGGTGGTGGCTTCATTTTAAAAGGCCTGTTTGCCCCAAATGTGTTGAATTTCAAGGATAGGCTGGAGGGTGAGTCATTTTTATTTATTTTCAAAGAGATGTTCAGAATTCACACTCTGTTTTTGTTTTAATAACTACTGTGGCTTCCTCCTCATGCTGACTTTCTATACTTTGGAAGAGAATGTGGGCAGGGAAGCCTGGAAGGCACCCAGAGACTCCTTGCTCTCTGCAGCTGTACAGACAGGCCAGCATCCGCTGACTTATGGAGCCAGCCCGCTGCAGTGTGTGCCTCCAGCCCTTGGAGGAGCAGCAGGCGTGCCTCAGAGAGCAGCCCGGGATGAAGACTATAGAAGACTGAAGAGAGTTATTGTGAATCATGGTGGCGAGGAGGGGTTTTTAGAAGTTAGGCCTGTTAGGCTGGGCATGGTGGCTCACGCCTATAATCCCGGCACTTTGGAAGGCCGAGGCAGGTGGATCATCTGAGGTCAAGACTTCGAGAACAGCCTGGCCAACATGGCGAAACCCTGTCTCTACTAAAAATACAAAAATTATCTGGGCATGGTGGCGGGCACCTCTAAGCCCAGCTACTTGGGAGGCTGAGGCAGGAGAATCGCTTAAACCCAGGAGTTGGAGGTTGCTGTGAGCTGAGATCGCACCATTGCATTCCAGCCTCAGCAACAAGAGCAAAACTCCAACTCAAAAAAAAAAGTGAGGCCTATTTTGCTAAGAGAAACTTACTTTTAATGACTGAGCTACATGCCTACCCTAAATTCCCTTTTAAGGAAGATGCTCAGACCACATTGTCAGTTCAGCTTTAAATTTTCAAGTGAGACTGAAGGAGAGCATTGGAACCAAGTGAATCTGAATGGGAATCCCCAGTCTGTCACTGTCTGTTTTAGACCTTGGGAACATTACTTAACCTCTTTTGAAAATAAGGATTTACCATCTTGTTGGTTGATTTGTAAGGATGACTAAATACATTCCAGAGCAGGATAACCCTCCTAGGTTAAAAGCAAGGATTGAAGGCAGGCTGTTACCAAGGATGGAAATTTTAGAGCTGAAGGCAGAACACACACCAGAGCTGTGGGCTCATGGGGGCTTTGCCCATTATAGGCAGCACATGAGCAATTGCTTGAAGCATGCTGACCGCTCCTTTGGGCCCTGCTATGCTCTGACCCTTCTTCTGTCTGGTGGTCAAAGCTCAAAGAGGTTGGAGGGGCAGCACCGGTTTACCATGAGATTGTTTTCACTCTCACCTGCCAAGTTCTGTTCTCCTTGCTGCCCAGGCTCTTTCTTTCTTTCTCTCTTCTTCCCTCCAGGGGACAGGACAATAGCCTAGCCAAAACTGCTAAACGCTGGGAAATGAGCTGGGATTAGCTTTTTTTCCAAACATTTTATCATGAAAATTTTCAAACACACAGAAAAGCTGAAAGAATTGGACATTGACTATCCATATAGCTACCACCTAGAATCTACAGCTAACACTTGGCTGTATTGATTTGCATCATCCTTTTTAAAATGCATTTCAAAATAAGTTGTAGCCATCAGAACACTACATGGGGCTGGTTTTGAAGTGATGATTTGATGGGCAATCTGAGTTCCTCAGGAGCTGCCCAAAGCCTCGAAGGCTCAGGAGCCATGCTCCGCTTTCAGAGTACTTACCTGTGTGAGATGTCTGCTGCTGCACCCACACATGTCCTAAGATTGAAGGGAGGCCTTGGGGTCCTGCCCTCACAGTGTCCCCCATGCCTGAAGGCAGAAAACTTGGAATCATTATACATACACTATTTTGGATGTTGTTTCTCTCTTGCTCCTGTGCTCTCTCACACGGTCTCTCTCTCCCTCCCTCCTTCCCCCTCTCTCTCCCCCATCACTCCCTCCTCCCTCCCTTCCCCCTCCCTATGATGTATACTTAAGCATTTTGCCATGTTAAATATTTTTTCTTTTTTTGAGACGGAGTCTAGCTCTATCACCCAGGCTGGAGTGCAATAGCTCACTGCAACCTCCGCCTCCCGGGTTCAAGCAATTCTCCTGCCTCAGACTCCCAAAGTGCTGGGATTACAGGCATAAGCCACTGCACCCCGGCCAATATTTTTTCAATGATGTGATTTTTTGCTGGCTATATTATTTTATAGCAATGGCTACCGCAGTGGTGTAAATAAATCTCATGATGTTGATCAAAATCTCCCAAGCACAAAAGAGAAAAACATGATACATGATTGTATACACTTTTCTGTGTATAGACTGCATAGTTGAGTAATTTATAAATTATTTTTATTATTTTTGAGATGGAGTCTTGCTCTGTCGCCCAAGCTGGAGTGCAATAGCGAGATCGCTCGGCTCACTGCAACCTCTGCCTTCCAGGTTCAAGTGATTCTCCTGCCTCAGCCTCCTGAGTAACTGGGATTACAGGCGCATGCCACCACGCCCAGCTAATTTTTGTATTTTTGGTAGAGGTGGGTTTCACCATGTTGGCCAGGTTGGTCTTAAACTCCTGAGCTCAGTTGATCCGCCCGCCTCCACCTCCCAAAGTGTTTGGATTATAGGCGTGAGCCACCATACCCAGCCAAATTATTTTATATGGTACTATCTCTGAGGACTTCTTAGAAACATCAGATTGACTCACACCTTTTTTTGGTCTCTATTTATGCATTTGCCAGTAGTAAAGCTTCTTGCTCCCTAAGGCTTCACACTGTGAAATACCCACAGTGCTGGGGGCCCTGTCTCAACGTGTTCTTCCCTCTACAGACACAAGATGGCTGTCCTCTCTAAGGAATATGGTTTCGTGCTTCTAACTGGTGCTGCCAGCTTTATCATGGTGGCTCACCTAGCCTTCAATGTTTCCAAGGCCCGCAAGAAGTACAAAGTGGAGGTAAGTGGGAACACAGGCCGGCGCCCTAAGTAGGCTTGTCTGGGGGCTACAGGCTTAGCCAAGAACTTGTTTTCAGCCATGGGTGGAGACGAGGAACCAGTTGTGAAAAGTGACAGTTTCAGGACTGTATCTATTAGCGATTCTGCTTCTTTATGGTAGCAAAGAGGCAAGAAATAATGAGGCCCTGCTAGGGGGTGGTTTCTATCTTGTTTGACCTTGTCTTTTCTGTAGAAAGACCAGGTATGCTGGGATTCCAATAGTACACTTTTGGCTGGAGCTATTTGCTAGGAAGAGAGTTACTGCATTTTCTATAGAGGCTAAGTGGCAACATTGTTTCACAGTGTGCCACTTTAAAAATGATGTCTTAAGGTGATTTTCCTGTTTTCCAAGTAGAAAAGAGGTATGGAGTGTTGAGGGTAGCCTGGACTTAGACATAGGAAGGTGGTCTATTAAATACTTCTTTTAGTTTTACGGGATCTAGAAGGGATAATTACTGAAGTTGTCCCTGGTGAGCAATTTTAATGTCTGTTTCTGTTTAGCAACTTAATAATTAAACTCCCTTACTAGAGCTTCTTTTAAGTTTTTTATTTAGTTTCTTTTTTTTT